CCAAAATACAGTTTCAAAGAAAATTAATTCAAATTCAAATCATAAACTCAGTTTCAATTTAGTGAAATTTATTTTCAAACCAATGCGTTCAATTTCAAATTCTGCAGATTCAGATTAAATCTGAGCAGTTCAAATTCAATTCCTGCTGGCACAAGATTTATCCCATATATTCACACAGCAAACAGGCTCAAACTGGGATTTGCCATCTCTTTTTTTCCACATGGCTGCTTTTGAGATCACATTGATTGTTGTGAGGACAGCGGTCTGCAGGAAAGGCCGCTTGAGCAACCAGTTTAAGCTCCGGGAAAAKATATTTTTGTCTTTCTAGAAGCAACAGATGTGTGTAAAGTGAATATTTTGGATTGTTCCATACGTGAGCTTTAATGTTTTCTATTAAAAAAAACACCTTACTGCCTATTTACTAGGAAGAACTACACGTCCAGCCTCTGTCCGTCCTCCTGCTGTCATTGGCCCTGATATCATGTGATCTCTCACATGGATTTGAGCCATTAAGGATTCCTCAAGGGGCAAGCTGCCAATAAGAAGTTAAGATCTTGTTCTTATGCACATTCCTGCACTCTTGCAAAAGCTCYGCGAGGTACATTTGAAACTGACAGATATTGTAAAAAAGAAATCACAACCAAAAGCAACTTCTTACGTGATTAAAACTAAAAGAATTGTATTAAAATTATTTAAAAGCCACAAGGACACGCAGGTTGATTTATAAACAGAAATAAACATAAACAAGGTGTATATTTGTGTAAAGATATACAAATAAAGCCTTAAAAGAGAACAAACTAGCAGGGAGAAAAAAAAACAAGAAGGAGGCCAAACAGAGACTGGAAACTTGTTATACATGTTGCAATCCTTTGCAAAGTTCACTTTTTGGTGCAGGGAAGAGCAAATAAGACAAAAAGAGCCCCCAAAAAATTCACGAGTTCAGCCCTCAAAGATAACGTATTCAGAGGAGTCCACCTGTCACGTAGGCAAACTGACAGGTTTCTAATATTAACATACCTGCACAACAGCAAATAAAAGAACATTCCTGCTGCTGCATTAACAAAGACCTACCTCAGTGTTAAACAATAAGCTCCAGAGCTGCACATTAATTCATGCTGCATGTTAGGCAACCAATTTGTAGCTCATCTTGTGCCAAAATCCAAGATTGCATTTAAGAGTGATTGATAGAAAGGGGGGTATTTCATGCACAAAAGGAAAGAGTGTAACATTACAGTCCAGAGAAACAGGGAAACATGCTCTGTGGCAAAAAAAAAATAAAAAAGATTAATGTTTTGGTATGTAAATTACTTGCTAAGAGCATGTGCACTGAACATTTAACCAGCCGCAGAGAATGCAAAACACTAACTCATATATCATTTAAAATAAATAAATACATTTAAAGACATGACTTGTGTTTGGAATGCAAACTGTGTTTTTTAATTTTTTTCTCATCTAATTAACTGAAATTAACCTTGTCACAGACACCTCCTCCACCAGTCATCAGTCATATTGTGCAAAAATATGTCTGTTTTACTTTTATGTTTTTTTTATTGTTTTCTGTTTTATTTTAAGAAAGATGCGATTGTTATACTTCCCTGCAAACAACTAGTGATTTTTGACTCAGTATAATCATTTAGATCTTATAAACAAGTCATTTAGTTGGAGAACCGGAAGCTAAGGGAATGGATTTCAAAATATTTGCGGGTAATAATTTTACAAAACGTTTTTGAATCACTGCTTATAYTATGTTTTGATTTGACCTTCATCTCCTCATAATGTGCAACTTGTAATAGCCTGTTGACCAATAAGTCACGTGAAATCGTTTAAATCGGCTCGGCCACTTTTTATTTTGAAACCCTCAACCGGAAGTAGGATAATACGCTTGACGGATAACTTGTTTCAGGAAGTCCGAGCGAAAACGAACCTGTCACGGAATAAACAAAAAAATAATGCCAACTGTAAACACTTAGTACATTTAAACTAATCACACTTTTAAAAAAATAAACTCTTTCTCTCATTCATGAAAAACAACTTTGAGAAAAATAACTAAATGACGCTTCTGGTCACTGTCGGAGCGCATTAATATAAACCCCGCAGTTCTGTCGACAGGGAACGTTATTTCCTACACATTACCAGCTAATCTCTAATGTTTTACATCTTTCTTATCCAAATACAAACGTTCTAACAGTAAACGCGTAAACAAACTCAAATCTTAAAGTGATAACCTTGATATAAACTGAAAGGCATGTTGCACTAACCGGTATTTGTTACTAAATGAGGGGGTGGGACATGGAGGAGTTGGGGGCGAAGTTAGGCGGAGAATGACAGGAAACTTACCCGGGAGTTGAGCTGCCATGGAAGCCTCGGGGTGCTGGATGYGGTCGGTGTGGTTGTCGGTCAGCGGGGCGAAGCGTCCAGAGCCGGAGCCGCCATGTTCATCTGGCTCGGAGGTTTCCTCCGCTGTTTATCTTTACTAGTAGACCCCCTCCTCCTCCCCCTCCTCCTCCTCCTCCCAGCTACACCACCACCTCCACCTGGGTGTTTCTGTTCCCTTCACATTAAAACACCACGGACAGCTTTTTAACTCCAGGAACAGCCTGGATGGACGTCCCTTTTTGACAAAACGCGTTATGTAAACATGAAAAAAGGGGATATCATTCACTATAATAGAGCAATTACCAATAAATTCACATTAACTAGTGATCCAGACTGACCTGGTGTTTGTCATATAGTTGTAATATCCCTTTAAGAAAGTTAAATGTGCTTCTAGACCTGTTATTGTCTATATTTACCTTTCTGCAGGGGCGCATCTAGAAGGTTCTCAGTGGTGGGGCCAGAGAGGGGGCAAAAAAAAATACTATTAAACTAGAGAAATTACATTTCCTGTGAAAATGCTAGTGTGAATGCCTGTTGCTGAAAACTTTAGCTGAAAGCTGCTGAAATTGACCTGAAAATGTTTAATAGCATTGTAAGTAAAACTTGAAAAGCCGAAAGAAGCAAATAAATAAATAATAAATAAATTTTAAAAAATGCAGAAAACAGTAAAAAGGAGCAAAAATATAGCTGAAATAGCATAAAATACTAAAATAGCTGAATATAGCAGAAAGCAGACGCATAAATAGTACAAATTAGCAGAAAAAAAGCACAAATAAAAGAAAAATCTGCAGAAAGAAGCAGAACTATAGCTGAAATAGCACAGAAAGCAGACGCATAAATAGTACAAATTAGCAGAAAAAAAGCACAAATAAAAGAAAAATCTGCAGAAAGAAGCAGAACTATAGCTGAAATAGCAGACAGTTAGCAAAAAAAGTAGCTAAAATTTGCATAAGGAAGTTAAAGGATGCATAACCAGAGCAAAAGTTGTGAAAAGCAGTGAATATTTATAAACTATTTGAAGGGTTTGAATGAGGTAAAACATAGCCCCATTCATTTTCAATGGCAAAAAAAAAAAAGTGACATAGCTGAAAAAAACTATAAATAGTTGAAATACTGTGAGACATCGCCGGAATGGCAGAAAAAAAACTGAACATTTTGATATATGAACTGTTAAAATAGCACAAAAATGTGGAAGGAGATTTAAAAATAAAAACCATATGGAATAGTGATAGAAGAAACAATAATAAAAAGAAACACAAAAACAATAGTGTGCATTCACACTGATTAAATAAAAAAGCAAGTTTTCTTTTTAAAATGCATACTTTTTAAATTGTCATTAAAAAATACAAAATAAAAAAATAGTGTGAATGCTGTTTGCTTAAATTTGCTGAAGCTGAAATTGAGTTGATAAAGTTAAAACAATCAATAAAACAGGCTAAAATTAGCAAAATAAAGGCTTAAAGCTAATAAGAAAAACAGAGCTAAAACCAATAAAACAGTAGCTAAAACATTAAATTAGCAGGATTAGCAAAAAGCTAAATTAGCTCATTTCAACTATAAAGCCTTGAATGTTTTTTTGTAAAATTTCTGCTCAAACTATATTCAGTTGTATATAAGCCTGTAAGATTTGTATATGTTAAATAAAATAACATTTTTTTAAATAACCGACAAGCTAAAGTTAGCGACAGAGTAGCTTAAAGTTGAAATTAGCAGAACAGAAGCTAAATGTTAAAACTTGAACTGAAGGATGTAATTTTTCAGGGATCTGAAGATTTATTTATTCAAAGCGTTGACATGAAAATGGATCAGATTCACTGGGAGGTCACATAAAATCAAAGGAAATAAAAAAACATCGGTTCATCATGGTGAGAGTAACGTCTAAATTCTGAATTTAATACAAAATTTATTTTTTTATTTGTTAGAAAAACAAAATCAGACAAACCCTTACATTTAACCTACTAATACAAATTTTTATTGTTGAATTCCAGAAAAAAAAATGTTTAAATCTTTCTTAAAATAACATTAATCAAGTTATTTAACCAACACTGCCACCTAGTGAACATGTGAGGGGCTTTTCGGATATAACCTTTGCTCTATAAATTTAAAAATGCAGGAAAAAAATCAGGTCAAAGCCTGGTGAGGTGGGGAAGCGAAAAACAGTTATTTTATTTTAAAGTGGCCTGAATAAAAATGCACTCCTCACGTTGCGACTGTCAACAGCGAGCACGCCTGTGTGGAGCCACAAACAACTGATAACCTGTTAAGCCACTAAATGACTGCTAAGCAGGTAAAAGCTGTTCTGAGATCAGTTAAACACACACCGGTGACAGGGAGGTGCCAGCCAGAGCAAATGTGGTTTGGGACGGTGACAAACGTTTAGCGAGCCGTCACCCAGGGGCCTTCAGAAATAACTAGAGTCAAYGAAACGGAGGAGGAACGGAGGACGGTGTATCCTGTAAGAAATCCTATCCACAGACATTTTTACATTTTCACTGTGCAGGGTTGGAAACAGGAGGGAGTCATGTTCTAATATGGAAGATATGCAAAACAACTGCCTGTAAGGCATGTTTTACATCTGGGTAACAGTTAAATATTAACTATAATCCAAAAAAAGGAAAAAAAAAACTTAATTTTCAACTTCTAGATGCAGTTTCGTTGCACGGCTGCAGTAAAAGAAGSTTCTATTGATTTCAGCAAACAGGACAAGATGTTTCCCTGCGCAGGACGGAGCTGAGACTCTGGGCTGACCTGTACACGTTTCCAACATGTTAAACTTTGACACAAGCTGCAGCTCAGGCCTGATAAGATGTTTCCTCACTGAAAACCTTCAAAGCAGCGCACTCYGTTGATCGACGAGGGCATTCAAACAATCACCACGTAAGATGAGCATTTAAATAATAAAATAAAAAAAAGAATCACAGCAGGTTAGATTGTACTCTTTTTTTTTTGTTGTTGCCTCTTTGTGTTGTTGGGTTTTATAAATTACTCCTCCACTTGTGGCTCTCAGGTGAGTCGTGCACTGAGGGGAAAGAAATAAATGAGTGATGTTAGCTCACAGTTTTTAAACAATCTGACAAGTCTCATTTTTATAYATCTGTGAATAATTGCAGCTGATTTTAGGTGACTTACCCAAACAGATCTTGCCTTCCTTCTCCAGTTTCTTCAGGTGATGGACCAGGTTAACATTAGCAGCCAGGTGCAGGTGTTCAGGAGTGTCCTGGAAAAAAAAAACAACTAAAAAGTTGATGTTTTTAGTGTCTGTAATTAAAAAAACAAAGAAAAGCTTTCATCTAGCTGGCTGTTTAGGTTCAAATAACCTTCACAAACATTTTGTCTGATAACTTATATTTACTGATTTTAAGGAAGTAGAGCAGGCCTATTCAACTGAATTGCTCCAGGAGCCACAGTAACTGTAGGCCAACAGCTCAGGGTCGAACATCCAGCAATGAAAGTCATTATGTAAATAAACCAAGTATTACAAAGATCTGTTACCTCTGAAATAGTTTATTTTGCTGCATTAATAATGGACATACAGAACCCTATAATAAAAGTAGTGATAATAAACCAAAGTCAAAACAAAAAGAACACATTACACCCCCATTTGACACAAATAATATTTTGACATCTCTTTTTTGCCATATTTTTAAACCAATTTTATTTTCACTTTCATAGATTTTTCTTCAGCTGCTTGTAATTTTAACTGTYTTGGATGTTCATAGAAATGGTTTTTACCAGCTTGTAGCCAAGATTCTGATGTTTCTGTAGATACCACACATGTCTGTGTTTAACTAAGAGAACTTATAGTAATTAAAGTAGAAAACTGGGGGTTTGGGCTTTAGAGTTGAAGGAATCAATGGGCGGGCCGAACTTTGGTCACTCGCGGGCCGGATGTGGCCCGTGGGCTGCCAGTTGAATAGCCCTGAAATAGACGTTTGAGTAGTCCAACTATTTGCACCTCACAGATTTATTCTGTTCTTGCTCTGTCACAATTTAAACTTTCAAAAGAAGTGCTCATATAAAACAAAGATAAGACACAGCACTGCGTTACTCCTATTTAAACTCTATTATTTTAACTCTTTACTTCTTAAATCTAATCAAAGCACACGGGGAGGAAAGCGCCCGACAGGCGCAGAGTTTCTCCTGACCTTGTAGACAATCTTGACGAGCTCCATGGAGGAAAACGCTCTCCCTGCTCCATCCTGAATCGCCGCCAGGATCTGTTGTTCTCTTTGGTCCCGGTGGGCGATGTAGTATCTGATCTTGGTGCCGGCATCCTGAACAACAGGCCCGTGTCCTGCACAGAGACCAGCAGGAACAGTTCGAGGCTTGTAAAGAGAATTAATCAGGAATCGCAGCGAGCCTTCACCGGTTTTAAAAACRCGCTTTTCCGGAAAGACACGCCGCGGTCGACAAAGCGGAACCCACCGGGGTAGATGAGGTCAGCCTCAGAGTCCAGCAGAATCCTCAGAGACCTCATGTAGTCGTAGAGATCCTCGAACACGGCCGTGCCCTCGCCCAGGATGCAGTCTCCAGAGAAGACGGCCTGCTCCTCCTCCAGCAGCAGGGCCATGTGGTCATCGGTGTGGCCCGGGGTGAACAGCACTCTGAGGTGACAGAGCGGCGTGCTGCTTTAACTTCCTGCCTAAACGTTTGATGTRTCTGTTAATAACACACACAGAGAACTGACCTGAGCGTGGCTCCCTCTGTCTGGATGACATTTCCATCCTTTAGGTAAGTGTAGCTCTTGTTTCCAGCAGTTTCTGGGACGTGGGTGGAGCGTGGCAGTTTGCTGACTCGGAYGTCAGATCCTGACAGAAAAACAAACAGAAAAAAAGCCTCATGTTTCCCATCTTCTATTTTTCCAATATCAACGTGTCACATCCTGAGCAGTTTGTAACTATAATCATTGGGCCTCATGCAAGAACATGTTCGTATTCTTATCTTAAATTTCTCTTACTTTTGTTCGTACGAAGGGTTCGTACGAACATGTCACGTCAGATTCAACAAAC